ATATAGAGTCACTCCTCTGCTTGCCAATAACAAAGAGAAACGTGGCCTTGCATTGGATGGCAAACTGAAAGATGAAGACACCAACCTGGCTTCTTCAACAATGTCAGTTAATCTTTATTACAGCAATTGAATATGTCCTTAAATAGGTAGTTGGAAAATGTAAAAGTCATCTGCATTAGACAGATCTTCTGGCGCATCCCAATGACATCTCTGTATTTTTATTCAGTACAAAAAATCTAAATACTTTTATGTATAAAAATGCACAGGCAGATAAACAATGTGACTTATCTGAATCTCTCTATCTCTCTGCAGTCTGCTACCCAACATGGATAAACAAATGCAAGGCCTTGCTGTTTCCTACAAAATTAAGGTTACCCTCATGATGGGAGGTGGTCTCTTGGGAAGCCTAACATTAAGGTTTGCATCTTTACATTTCATCCCAATGTCTCAGTGAGGGGTCATAGCAGAGAGCATTTTACCTCCTTCTTTCTCTGATGACTTTTCCTCTGCTATTAAAAAAGACATTTCCCTTGATAATGCCCGAACACAACTACTTAACAAAGAACAGTCTGCTTAGTTACCTTGTCATTAAACAACAATTAAAATAAATCAAGCAGTACATGCTATGATGTGATTTACCATTGTGAGCAGTGAAAGTACTCAAGACATGTTTATCTTCTGTACACAGTGATATTACCGCTGAACTCCCCCTGGTTCTGATGTCACCTAAACCAGCAGGTGAGGTTTCTGTTCTTTTATATTTAAAATGAGGGGCCTTGTGTGTGTGTAAGGTATATACAGTCCAGTTGTACATGGATAGTTCTGTATTTGTGACCATAACTTATTTAAAATTTCAAATAATACACATTATTCCCTGTTTATAAAGTGGCACTGCTATGAAACATTCTAAAAAAGCATTGTGTTCTTGTCTTGTAACTGCATCCTTGTGCATTCGCAAATTGAGCAGAAGTGTAAGTATCAATGTAAACTTGTTTCCCATGTTGAGAAAGAAAGAATTTTAAACCTTATTTGTTTTCATTTTGAATCTTAGACTTTGAGGCTTTAACAAAAAATTTAACTTTTTAATTTTTTTTATCCAGGACTGATATCAACCTTGAATAGAATACAGCCAGTGATGGAGAGGAGCAAGTCAGAAGGAGAGACACTCAGGAATAGATGCAGATTCCAAACAACCTCATTTCATGAGCCGTAGACTATAGACCCTAGTTGCAAATACCTGTAAAAGGAATTAGCTGTATAATGTTAAACATGGGCTAAAAGCCTTGTACACTAAGATGAACTCACTGACACTGAAATCAAGCGTTGTCCTGATGCTGATGATGTAATGTTTATTTCTTCTGCCTTTATCATGGGATCTCAGATGAATAATGTTTCAGTTTCTTTTTGTATGTGAATGTAAAATATAAAGGAGTAATGAACAACTTTAAATGTATTATAATTATATTAAATCGTATTTTGTTTTTGTTTTTCTGTCTGTGGTGATGGTGGAAATTAATAAACATTGGACTGTTATTTGGACCACTACCAAAGTCTTTCCTCATCCTTCATCATGACTTTATATATATGCAGGGGAGCAGTGAAGCAGTTAATTATTATTATTATATATAATATAATATTTATCATTCTAAAAGTATTACTACACTACAATAGTAAATTATACATATTGTTAGAACACTGTATATATGTAGCCTATATATATATAAACTTGACTTCAGATCAAATATTAAGTAGGTATTGTTAAATGGGTGTTGTGAATGTTAATCATCTACTAACAGATTAAAGCAGTGAGTGTCACTGGTGATAACGATTGAGTCGCCGATTCTGAATGAATGAATGAATCTTTTCCTGGTTGCAGCACTGGATTAGCTTTAGCAGTGTCAATTTGCTGCATATTCGCTTGTGCGTCTGAATTCACACTCAAGGTCACCTAAACAGAGCTGCTGTATGACAAAGGTAAGCTTCACTTAGTGTTATGCTATGCATTCGT